TGTGTGTGTGTGTGTGTGTGTGTGTGTGTGTGATATAACGACAACCACACGAGACGAGCCGAAAATAAGTTAAATTTATTTGATTTTCTGTCATTTGAACCGTTTTCGTGTTTCATGTCCGTGTATTAAATTCCACGTAAACACAATTCGAGTGTTCATACTTATATTTTTTTTTTGTAAATTCGAAACTGACATATTATTATTATTATTAATATTTCAACCATCTACATTTCGATAAAATTCTATTTAAGTTGATTACACTGTTTATATAAGCTCCACACTATTTTCAAACTTATCTTATATTTAAATATCTAATAATTGTAATAAATAACATGATTAAAAAAAAATCGTTCATAAAAATATAATGTCAATAAAATATTACATACCTAAATAAGAATAATTTGATTGATTGCACAGCAAAGAATAATATTAGAGGTTATAATAATAATAATTCTGATAGAAACTTTTGCGTTTCAAACATATTTTATCAAAACCTTGGGTAAAATATTAAAAATGGGGACGCCAACTTATATTATTGCGCTATCAAATAATAAGATTCATTGGAATGAACAAAAAATTCTGAATTCAAAATGTAATGTATATAAAAAGTATATGTATAGTGTGTCTATTGTACATGGATTTTTAKGATTTAATTTTCAAAAGTAATAAAAAATTAAAAAGGAAATTATTAAAGTAATGTATATTAATAACTATGTTTAAGTAAGTACCAACCTAATTTTTATGGAAAGCCATTTTTATGAAATTAATTTAATGAATTTTCACACGTTTATAGAATTTTAATCCACTTCAATTTGCATAAGCTTGCATTGCTAAAAAAAAAAATATTGCATTATAAAAATGAAAATGAATGAACAGTTATATTTATTTTTATGTATATAAAGTAGGCACACAAACAATAATGACTGGAGAAAAAGAAATATAATAACTAATAAGTGATCGGAAGATAGTTTTAACAAATTACTTCCAACTGAATTCCGAGTAAAAGATGATAAATATTCGTCATTTTCCTTAAATCTGATCTTATAGAATCATTGACACATTTACAATATTGAACAATAATACTGAAAATAGGAGATAAATTTATTTTAATGAAATGGGTATTTTATTCTTAAAAAAGTATTAAATTTTATCCTGTATTTCGAAATCAGGAGAAACGTGAATCCATAGAATTTATATATGGTTGTGAAAAAAAAAGGGATGAAAATAAACCAAGACGGAAGATATTTTTTCGTCGTAAAAATCAAGAGTACGATTTTTTTTTAAAAGCAATCGAGTGAAACAATTGAAGACGCCCCCGAAAAAATTCCACGAAAAGATTTCCAAGCATTTTACCGACATCAATTTCTATGCATGATCACGCATTATTCTTCAACCGTATTTTTTATGTACAATATATGTTTATTTACTTATTTCGTTTTTATTAACCATTATAAAAGCGGCATAATATTTAAATTTTTAGCAGATATGATATCGACGTGTATTACATTTTTGATTGTTTTAAGTTAGTTATTATCATAAACTATCAATTAAGACGAAATGATAACAATAATATATTGCAAATCAAAATGTTAATTATTGTTCATTGGAATACGATATTCGAACGTATTCAAAAGGTGTATAATGGTAAACAATAAATTCAAAACAATAATAACATTTCCCCGCTAAAAATCGAACCATTACCGAGTTCTACGTCGTTTCCTGCAAAATGATTGGTGTTTCCCCAAAGTTGCACGATTATTATTAATATTTAGCACGGTTCGTACAAAACAGTAACGTGAATCATTATCATTAATAGTTAATACTGTTATATAAACCAAAATTTGAGCCACTAAAGTTATTTGAATAATATTATAATTTACCGAATGAACAATAAATTGATCTCTAACAATCCGCCGGGTACAATGAAAGCCAAATGTATAACCTAACCATTATATACAATTAATTATCATCACATAAATTGTGACATTAAATAATAATATATTTGTAATCTCTCTACGGGTATTTGAGTGGGTAGGTACCTATATTATATTAACTAACTGTATTTTGTCCGCCAAATTGATTAAAATGGTTAATTATTACAACACAATAGGACATTATAGTTGAAAAAACCATTAAAAATAAATCACTTGTACTTTAATATCATACTAAATATGAGAAAAAAATTTTTTACGGCGTTAATTTAGTATTCATTATGCGTTTATAATAGGTATATTATACTATAATATTAGTAGTATAACGTTTTGGTGTAATCATTTTAAAGATCTGAACGTTAAAAAAAGGTAAATAAATATCGTGATCTAAATTCATGATGATAACATAAAACCATAATGCAGAATACTAATAACACAAAGCAAAACGTTTAACT